CCTTGCCATTCCTTGTGGAATTGTTCCACAAAACCAGGTACCACAGAGCCTTGGAGTAACCTGGCCAGGCTGCAGCACACCTGTGAGGAGCCTGCCCTGGGAATCCTGCCCTGTGTTTGTGTGGCCATCTCAAAGCTCTGAGCCAGCACTGACATTTGAGCCTGTTGCTGCAGCACTTCCCCACAAGGGAAGGGCCCCCCATCTCCAGCTCTGGGCACTCCAGGTGCTTGCTAAGTCCCAGCCTCCACCAGCACCATCCCAGAAACTGCTGGGGGCACCACATTTCCTGCAAAGCCCTGCTCTTCTCCTGCAAAATGGCTCCAGCACAAGTGCTGCTTCCAGCTGGTTTCTCTTGCCCAAGCAGTTGGGCTGGGCTCACCCTCTGGCTGAGAGCTGGCAGTGATGCATGCACAGAAGGATGCAGGAGCTGCAGTCCCACACAGCAGGGGGAGGAACACCTGTGGGTCTGGCCAGCTGTGGTGTTATGGTCACTGAAACCTTTAATCTGATCATTTCTGGGACCTTTTGCTCTCCATTGTGGTGTCATGGTTCCCCTTCTTCACAACTTTTAAAACCACAACTTTTAAAACCACTTTCCCCAGAATTTCTGGTCTTGGTTTCCTCCTTTTGAATGTATCCTCTGTGGCCTCTTGGGATTTTTCTTGGACACAGATTTGAGGTCATGGGAATGGGATGACAGAAGATGTCATGGAAGGAGGAGTGTGCCAGCCTCAGTGTCCTGGTGGGGCACCACAACAGGGACAGAAGTGTCTGTCACTTGTTGGAAAAATCACCCTCTTCTTCCTCAGGCAGCTAAATATTCACGGACAACAGAACTTTGATTAAGTTCTGCAGAGAATATCCCAGAAGAAACTGAGAACTGAAATATCAGGTCCAGCCTACTTTGACAGCTCTCTTCCAACTCCTTTTGGAAATATTTGCTGTCTTACTGCTCATGTCTGGAGTGAAAATTAGAGCATTCTGTGGGCCCCAACATCTGCTCAGTGAGAGCCCATTAAAAGCCTGGCCACTGTAACCAGCTATTGCTCTATCATTTTTATCAATAGCAAATGTAAACTCTCATAGGAAAATGTGTTTTTTTTTTCCAGTTAATATCTACCATCATGAAGCTGATTTTGCTAAGCAGCTTTGGCACTAAGAACCAGCAACAGCTAATAAATTCAATGTTAGGCTTATGAGGTTCTGACAGATTGCTGGCAGCTGCCTTAAATGCAGGAAAAAGCTCTCCTAGTGTGGGTTGGAAATGCTTATTTATACCATACTGTGGGTCTGTTTGCCCCAAATTTTGCTGCCTCCTTTTAGTAGATGTCATTGGTGAGATATATGACAAGGGTACAATAACTGATCAGAGATGCATTTCCCAGCTACACTGGAGATCAGCACTAATGCATAAAGATGGGAAGCTCAGCCATAAAATATGAGATTTTTACTGTAAGAATTTTCATTTATGAATGCAAGGTTTGTGGTAAGGTTGTGACTAGACCTCATCATGGATGGTTTTATTTACTGTGAGTTTTTGTGGTAGTTCTTTTTCTATATCAGAGGGTTTAAAATAATCTGCAGGAGTTTAACACCACCTTGCTGTTAATTGGTGGTGGACCCAAGCAAAGATGGGTTGTGCAACTACATTGAGTGTGTTCTTAGCATGTCTTAAAAGTTGTGTCTTAAAAGTGAAAGATGATGTGCTCAGAAAAAGGCATGGGCTTCAGGAGCCTCTGTTTAGCTTAGAAGTTGGTCAGACAGGAATCCTCTTTGGACCAGGGAAAACCAACTAAAAGGAAAACTTTGGGAAACCTGAGTGCTCAACTGCAGTAATGGAGCTTCTATTGCAGAGACATTTCAGATAAACAAAATTGCAGAGACATTTCAGATAAACGACCACTTTTTGGTGGTAAGTGATGCTAAGAATATATACAGAAAATGAATAAGTTGCAGTCTTATTGTGAAGCTAAGTTTAGTCCCAAATTTCCCAGTTACATGATTGCCCGTGAAAACCACAATGTTTGAACTGAACTCAAATTTGCTTTTCACTGTATTTCATCCTTTCTCATTGACTTGGACTGGCTGGAGCTGAGTAGTTGATAAGCCTTTGGCCATTAAAGTCAATGCTGAGTGAGGGGATGAAGAAATTAAAGGAATGGGAATTTTCTTCTAACTGGAAAAGAGCAGATTAAGTCAAGACATTAAAGAATTGTTCAGTGAAAAGTAAATCAGGCATCAATTTTCTCTTCACATGTGGTGAAAGTAGCTCTGGAGAGTACAGACTGATGGTGAAAATTCCAGATTAACCATGTTGCAGTGTTCAACTTGATGTACAGTTGTGGAATTTATCCTGGTTTTGTTTATGAGTCTGATGGTCAGCACTTTCCATCTCTAACAAAGCATTCCCCTCTCTTTCTGTCAATATGCCTTACAACTCCATGGAAAGTCTTCTGAAATAGATAGAATTTTCTTTATAACACTACACAGAAAGAGCCTTCCTTCCTCAAAAAAGAAAAACAGAATCATCTAGAAATATGCACTGACATCATGCAACAACTCTAAAATTCTCCTGGAAAAAAAAAAATGCTGACAGCATTTCACACAACCAAAAGAAATCCTGAAAGTAAAGCACTAAATGCTGTTTTGGAAAGTGTGTGGGTGATGCCACCAAGCATTCTGCACCATAATGAAGTTCCAGAGAAAGGGGATAAAGCAGAAACCCACCCCAGTGCCTTTAGAGCAGGCAGCTTGTGCCAGCTCTGGTCTGCCTGCTGGAGGGGCTCGCTGTGCCCACAGCCCTGGCAGGGCAAGGCAGGAATATTCCCTTGCCCAGCTGAGATTCCCTTGCCCAGCTGCCCCTCCAGCTCCTCTCCCAGCCCTGTCCATTCCATCTCCTCTCCTGTGTCTCTCCTTCAGCACCAGTCCTACTCCCATCCTTGGACAGAACTTTCCGGAACTTTGAGATCCTCACTGCTGTTCTGGGAGCTGCACTAAAAAGCACAAAATTCCCCAGTGTATTACAGCAAAGTGCAGCTTTCAGCTCTGTGCCTCTCTGCCCTGCTTCTGTGGTTGCCTTAGGATTTTTGCTTTTATATTTTTCATATATTTGTAATCCTGCAGTTTTTAGTGTATAACTCCAAGCTCCACACTCAGTGTGAGCTGCTGCTTCCCCGTTTTGGGCAGACACAACAATTCCTCTCCAGGCCTGGCAGTCAAGGACACCTCACTGCCTCAGGCCTGAGAGATTAAACAAAAGGGAGCTGGGGGGAGCAAACCTGGGGTAAATGACTTCATTACCTGAAGCTGTAATTAGCAGATTAACCGCCAATGTGCAAATGGACCAAACTTATAAAAGTGTGAAATCTGTGACCCTTCATTCCTTTTGGGTGTAGGCCCATGGGAGCTTCATCTGCCCTAAATGTACCTGAAGGCCCCTCAATAAATAGAACTGCTTTTCATTCCCTTAATTTTGTCTGGCCTCTGTTTTTAGATAGCTGAAAAGGCATCACTGAGTCCTTTTGTCATGTTTTCTATCACAGAGTTTGTTTTCTGGTGGCTGCTGAGTGTTGAGCTTCTGGTTTTGTAAGAGCCTTCGTGCCCCAAGGTCCCATTTGTGTGTGTGAGATTTAACTGGGAGCCCATTAGCGACACTAATCCCAGGCTTGTTCTTCCCTTATGTGCATAATTTATTTGGGTTTGCTTACAATGAATTTCACAGAGGCTCTGTGGCTGTTTCTCTCCCTGCAATATCCCCCTGCTTTATTAGCAGTAATTGCCTTTCTTCCCATTTTCCAGTGGATCAGCAATTCAGGCAAATTAAGGGAAATTGTTCCTTACACCACTTACTGCTGCTCCACCAAGCCTGAGAAAGGCACCCTGTGCCCAAAAGGTTTTGGGATTGTCTCAAGTGATCTGACAAAATATATGGGGCATCTCCTCAGCTGGGACCAGGGTGGGCTCAGTTCACTTTAATTGAGCTCTACTGAGCATTTTTTCCCCCTTATAGATTTTCAAAAGTGGGGTAAATTGCTTCTGAAAATGAAAGAAATCTCAATGATCAATTGAATTTCAATACCAGGGTAAGGAAAATGGTTGCAAGCTGCTTCTGTGCACTTGAGTATATACATTTCCACAAGGGTAAACCAACCAAAGAAGCACCTGGATGATTCCTTCTCACAAAGAGATATCTTTGGAACTGTAACTGTATTTTTCTGACCATTAATATTTTCATGGCATGAGGAGACCACACAGCATTTCCTTCCTCACTAGAGGAAGAAGTGAAATGTCTGTCTGTGATATTTGCAGGGTCCCCAGGATGAGGTGAAGAGATGAGTCTGACTCCATGTTCTTAGAAGGCTATTATATTATATTATATTATATTATATTATATTATATTATATTATATTATATTATATTATATTATATTATATTGTAAAATTATACTAAAGAAAAAGATACAGACAGAAGACTTAACAAGAATGATGATGAAAAACTCGTGACTGACTCCTCAGAGTCTGACACAGCTGGCTGTGATTGGTCATTAAGTAAAAACAATTCACATGAAACCAATCAAACATGCACCTTGGTTGGTAAACAATCTCCAGACCACATTCCAAAGCAGCAAAACAGGGAGAAGCAAATGAGATAATATTGGGTTTTTTTTCTCTGAGGCTTTTCATCTTCCCAGGAGAGGAAATCCTGGCGAAGGGTTTTTTCAGAAAATATGACAGTGACATCTGTCTTACAACATAAATAAATATTTTCCTTGAAGAAAGTCATCTGAGTTAAGATCAAATAAATGACAGACCTGCACAAAGTAAGCAAACAGCTGTCACAGAGCCTTGGAGCTTGTTCCAGCTGGCTGTGTGTAACATGGATGGCATGTGGGTCCCTGTGTGCTGGGGGATCCTGCTTACCCTGGCACTCAGGTCCCACAAGACACAACACTGATGCAATCTGTAAGATGGGAGGAAAAAGCCTTGGCTGTGTGCTCTTACCTTTTTCAGAAGCCGGGGCAAGGTCAATAAAACTTCGACATTTTTCACCTTTAAAAGAAAAGGATTGTTTTAGGAGACAGAAGTGGGTTGGTGTCACTCTGCCTCCTCTCTGTGCATGGGCTTCCTGCCCTCACTCCCACCCCAGTCTCTCCAGGACCCTGGGGACAGACATTCATTCCCCTGTGCCCAAGGGCTGGACTTCCCTTGGGGTTGCAGCCCCTGGATCAGGAGTGCAGGAAATCCTCCCTTGCTGGCTGAGCCCCTGCTGGGCCAGTGATGCTCTTCCCAAAGGCAGGAGCAGTGCTGGGCTCTGGCTGGGGTGACAGAGGGACAAACAGCTCAGCAGGTGGCACTGGCAGGGCATGGGCCCCTCTCACCCACACTTTTACCTTCTCATCACCACACAATGCCCGTGCCCCACCCAGTGTGACCAAACCTCCCAGTGCTGGGGCACTGCCATGGGCACAGAGCTCTCCACACACAGATGTGACACACATGACTGAGAAAAAGCCTGAAGCACTAAGAAGCTAAGGAAATGTATAAATGGTTTAAAAAAATGTTTCAAAAGCAGGAAATGCCTTGCTCTGAGCATCTCAGCCTGTGCCCCTCCCTGTGCTTCACTGTAAATTAAATTCTCTCTTGTTTAGGACACCACCTTTGGCCTTGAGGGAATTCTTGAGGAGTTTCTGAACAGGAAATGGGTCTTAGGGTGGACACTTTGACCTTTCTTTTTACTTCTTCAGGTAACCAAAGATGATCAAATAATTCCTCTGCCCTGGATGCATCCCTCCACCAAGTGTATGTGTTCCTTTTGATATGATGTGCTCCAAGGTGTGCTTGCACATCTGCCAGAGGTCATGGAATAAAGTCCATTTTGCCCTTTAATACTGTAATTGATGCAAAGGCAGTTATAGGACTAGGCTGTTTTTTTTTTTTTTTTAATTAGCTTTGCTCATTTTTAATTACAAAGTTCAAAAGACTAATTTAGGAAAGGTGAGCCATTAAAAAAGAATAAACAGTGAAATGCCACAGTGATGGTGAAGTCAGTGTATTTTTTTCCTATTTGTAATTCAGTATGCATAAAAAGCAATATAAAGTGCTCACCTTTCTGGTGTCTTTACTGGCAAGATTGAGATAAAGGTAATCATTCAAATGATAGCTGTGCTGACATAAGAATCTATTATTTTAATGCTATTATTTCTCCCTTTTATTTCCTTTTTGCAGTTTTAAATCCATGCTAAATACACTGAGAGGTGATGTGTACCTAGTCCATTGTCTAAGTAGCTATAAAAGAAAAGGTTCACTTGACATTGACATGCACATTTTGATATGTCCAGGGGAAGGATTTCTACTCTGTGAGTCCAGAGGACAGCCAAGAAAAGGAAGTGACACTTGGCTTGCCAAAGCACCATCTCTGTTTCCAGATCCAGGGCAGGCTCTATCTGGGCAGAAGAACTGTCAGTGTTTTGGGGGAAACAGATGGAAAGGTAATTCTGGATCACAGAAATTACCAGCCCTGCACATTTCCTGTTCAGAGCATGACATGACTTTCCCACCCAGATTCTGAAATGCTCTGAGGATGGTAATACCCATCCCTTAGTGACTCAGAGACGGACTTTGTTCCCACTCTGGTCCACCTCTGAAGAAATGTTTCCTGATAGCCAACCCAAACTTCTGTAGCTGCTCTGGCATCAGTGCAGTCATCCTTTGTCTGCTTGTAGGGACATGAACAAGCCCAGCTCTCCCTCTTTACTTTAGGTTCCTGACCAAGAAATCCAGATAAGTAAATGGACTATGAAAGATACTAAGGTGTAAGCAGAAAACATTCTCTTCCAGAGCCTCTGAGTTTAGGGTATGAGGTTTTTTAGGAATTTTATTGACATAAAATCAAGGGAATATAGGGAGAGTGACCTCTAGATTTGGACTTGATATAAGCAGATTAAACAGGATTTTTCATTCTAGCCATATGGATCTGTGGTTTGGCTCTGGTTTTTGTGGTTGTTTTTTTTATCAGATGTAAGTTATTACTTTTATCACAGTTTTATTTGAACCTGACTTCAAGCTGTCTCAGTGATCATGCCTCACTTGTGTTACAGTGAATCCAAAGCCATATTACTGGAAACCTTTAATAAACACCTGGCTCTCCAAAGTATTATCTCCCAAGACAGGCAAAGGGGAATGGCCTTTGCTGCTAGAAAAGGTGCACAGGCTGCTTGGAGAGCTGGTGGTGCCTTTCAGCCACCTGGCAGGGGACAGAGTTACCAGTGTTTGGCTGCAGGACACAGGAGAGGGTGGTCACAGGCTGCTGGGAGGAATGAGCATCCTCTTCCTCCCTCAAACTCAGCTTGCCCAGAACACCATCTCTCCCTGTGGTGAGGCCTCCAGTTTAAATAACATGGACAGAAAGTGTTGGAGTGTCCAGAAAAAGTCCTTTAGGAGCCATAGCAAAAAGAATGGCTGGAGACAGAGAAGAGCCTGATGCCACCTCACTTTCAATGGCTGATTGTGCCTGGCTTGCTGCTGAAGGTCACAGTAGGAGCTGCACAAGCAGTTCCTGACTCTTCCCTTTGCTGTTCCTGCTGCTGGAGCACTGGAAAACCCTCTTCCATTTTCAATGGTAGCCACTGGTGGTATTTATAAAGCACAGTCACACTTGCACATGCAGACATGCATCTCGCTGAGAACTGAAGATGTCAGCAGTGCTTTCACTGTTCCTCTTAGGATTTATTCTAAGTTATTTCTGGGTATCTTGTATAACTGATCTCTTAAGCCCTCTTAAGTTTAATTTTAGACTTGGCAGAGTTTATCCTGCTGTGCTGTCCTTTTCCAGATGCATCTTCTCCCCCTATGCAGGCTCCTGGAGAGTCTTTAGAGAATATACAAAAGACTGTTCAGAGAAGTAACAAGAAGAGTCTCTGGGATTCATCCCCTGAGAGCCCTGCCTTCCACTGTTGGTGGCTGTGATCCTGACAGGGAAGAAAGGCAAGGAGTGACCTCTCCTCTCTTCACTCAAGCAGGAAGAAGTGGTGGGACATGGCTGGGATTCTCTGCACTGCCACACAGGAGCAGAGGCCATGAGCAGTGCACATGGGGCTCTGTGGAGCTCAGCAGTGACAGGGAGCTGCTGGAGGCTGAGCAGAGAGGGCTGACCAACACCTAAGCAGCCATGGGCAAAGCACTTGGCACCAGCTTCTCCTGAGCTTCCTGAGGGTGAGGTAAAAACATCACCTGTGCAAGTCCTTGCAAACACACTCCTCCTAATCACACTGACCCTGCAGGGGCTCTGCTGTGCCTCTGCTGGCCTTCCCAAGGAGGGGACATCCCAAGGAGGGGACATGTCACAGGGATCTGCAGGACTGGGAGCTACCAAGAGTCCAAAGTTGATCTGTGGCTAATTAATCCTAATTAATTAATCTAATTCTGTATATGTGCATGTCTATGAGTGTTTGTAACTTGCTGGGGAATTTCAAGCTGGAGCAGCCAGAGAGTGGGAGGAGACACATCTGGAAAGACTGAGCTGGTGGGTGGGGAAGAGTCTTGAGGCTGTGTGGGTAACAGATGCAGAGCCCATGAAAATATCTGAGGGACCACCAGTGGGATGTCCCCATGAATCTGCAGTGGGAACAGGTGGAGGTGTTCCAGCAGGATCTGCAGAGCTGGGCAGGCAGAAGAGGAAGAGGAGCAAGTTTGGTGCTGGGGGGATGTTTCTGTGGGTGCTGATGAAGGCACAGTCCTCTCTGAGGGTCTGTGTGGTCAGAGACATCAGTGTCAGGCTTGCACATGTGTGTGTGTGTGTGTGTGTGTGTTGTGTGTGTGTGTGCCCCCAGCCTGGATGGGAAGGGCCCAGCAGCAAACAGGTGAAGGAAAAAGGAATTCCCTGGCACTTCTTTAAGCTTCCTGGGATCACGCTCAGCATCATCTCACACAAACTCTCAGGGACGTCCCCATCCCATGCAGCTGGGGAAGCTCCCTCAGCTCTGCAGGGCTGGAATGCCTTCCAGCTCCAGGCCAGTGTGTGCTGAAGAAAGCTCAGCTTTGGGATGCTGTGTGGTGTCAGGAAACAGAGGAAGGTGTGGATTTGATCCATCAGTGCCAGGGACACAGAGGAAGTTGTGGCAGTATTAGGAGACCATCTCTGTATCTTGCTTGCATAGAGTAGGTGGAGACAAAGTCCCAGTGGTTCATGTCAGAGGTTTGTTGGGGAAGACAGTTTGGATCAATTCTGCCTCGAGTACAGACAAACCCATTTGTGGGATTGTTTTTGCTAAGGGACCAGGTTGCACATGGTGGATAATGCAAAAAGATGGAAGAACACGATGTGTACCTCGGGGAGATCTGATTGCTGGGTGAGAACTATGTGTAAATATCACTGTTTGCTGAATGTTACTGCCATTGTCTGTGTATAGCTGTATATTGGAGGTATAATGTATGTGTTTGTAGAGTTAGAATATATATTAGTTTTAGTAGTAAGCTGATGATGTGGGGATAAGGGGTGGAATGTCCTGGGTTGACTATATGATGCCTTTATCCCCAATTGTCTTGGTTCTGTTTATGCTGAATAATAAATTTTGCACCTTTAAGACTTGTTCCAGAGAGTGAAGGGGGGAGAGAAGAAGCAGCAGTTTATTTTCAGACACTACACTCACTCCTCCACATTCCTGCTCCTGGACTGTGTTGTCTGAGGATGGACAGACAGTGGGACAGAGATCTCCTTTGCTTTTAGTTCGTTTAGCTAGCTGAGGCAAAGAAGTTCCCTGGACTGTGGGGTTTTTTTTCCCTTTTCTTTGGACCTGTTTAAATGTACTCTGGACTGAACACCCAGAAGAGCACCAGCAGCTGCACCTGTGGCCCACCAGGCCGGGCCTGGGCCTGGGCCGCGGCATTTCCAGCACTGGGGGGACTGATAAGGGACTGATAAGGGACTGAATACGAGGAGGCCCATACTCCTCCTCCTCCTCCTTGTTCACAACATGCAGGGGAGTCCTGAGCTCCCAACCTTTCCAAGCCTGTGCACATTCTCATCATGGACAGTGCCTCATGTGTGCAAT